TATATATATTAAATTTAAAATTTCAAATCTTATTTCAAAAAAAAAAGGCGACAAATAATGGTTCCTCTGTAATACGTCCCAGATTAGCCAGACCACTTTAGCAGACGACTCGACTTGGCCACTAATGGGAACAATTCAACCACTTCAACAGGTTAGCCCCGAAGCCCATTAGTCTTATTGATTTTTATGATGTATCCTTGAAAAAGTATCATTAGAGTACATTATCATATTTCAGTATACAATACTTTTGTACAAAAACATTTATTTCAAAAAATCAACTTTGTTGAATATTAAGGGCTTTTGTTGATATTTAAAGTCTTTCATCCAAATGGAAGTCCAGCTCTTTGATATTGTGTTGACGTGTCCCTTCCATATTGCCAGCAATCATTGGAGAAAGTCAGGGTAATTTTGTTTGCTACTTTTTTAAATCTAGTTTACTCTTATATAAACTTTACAAAATATTAAAAATTACTTTTTTTTAATTTGAAAAACTTACAGACATGCCCAAAAGTTCGATGTTTACAATTACATCATTTTTAATTTGAAAAACTTACAGACATGCCCAAAAGTTGGATGTTTACAATTACATCATTTAAATTTTTCATATCACATCAAAAATATTATTATTTTAATTTTTAAACAGTAAAACACATTTTTAATCATAGATAATATGATATATATATATATGTGTAAAAATTGTAAGTATAGGTATTATACGTGTGAATACATAAGAATTTAGTGGTATGCATGTAACATTTATATGATTCAAAAAATAATATTAAATAAATGATCACCAATTTTTTGACTTAAATTAGTTTGTAAAGAAAATAATATAAATGTAATGAAAAATGTTTTTCTTTTTTTTTTGCTCATCGAGTTTATTAAGAAAATAATATAATGTAATATTTTATATTTTTATAAAATCTCATTTGGTGTAGGCAATTAATGAGCTTCAAATTAGAGTCAAGATTATGAGAATTTCTTTGAAAGGAATTCCAGCAGTTTAAGATAATAAATTACTAATGCTTTTTACATTATTTGATATATATCTAAATTAATGTTGTAATAATATCTCTATCGCCGTTGAAATATGAAATATTTTCAATAATGTAGTGTTAAGTGGTGTTTTCTTTTTTGTGGAGTGGGGGAGAATGTTCTCATTAATTTGGGATGTCATTCGTACGTCAGGACGACGATACGGCTACACTATTGTGGATCGCATGACACACAATTCAAACTGTCATCTTGACGAAAAAATCTTACATACGGAGTCCGAACACATAAACTTAGACTCCAATAAAATATTGTCACGTGTATCTGACTGGGTCCACCTATAAAATGATAAAATGAAGCTTATTGTGGTGTTATTACAAAACAACTCTGCAATACAAAAAGTGTCGCAGTTTCGCTTCAATAACCCATAAAGCAACTTGAATAACACCACAAACAATATTGTAATAACACCAGTGATAAACACCAATAACATCGCTCAGAGGATTATGCAAATAACATTGTGATAACATAGCAATAACCCGCTCAAAATAACTCTAATAATATCATAATAATATTATAATAATATATGTGGATGAAACTAATAATATCACCCAGATTTTTAACTTAATTAACAATAAATCTCAACTTCAAAAAAAAAAAATAAAAAAAAAACGTACCATCACGTGCTCGCAAGAGCTAGTTTCAGGTTTGAATAATTTGGAATGAGCAGGGCTCATAACAGGTCAAATTGTGAGTTTCGAGTTCCCGACAGACTAGCACAGAGATTCCATCCTCCTTTCTCTATATTAAACAATTTAAGCTGCACTGTTAACCTTGATCCTCTCTAGCCTCCACTCACTCTGCACTCCCACCCTGCTATTCCGCTGCTTCCTTTCCCGGCGAAGACCACACGGTGAGGAGTCCATCGGAGTACAAAAGTTTAAGTTTAATGGCCACCGCTTGCGTCAATAGTATCGACATGCCGCCGGAGAACTTCCTCGGGTGCCCGCCGTTTTATCCTTCTTACAATTGGTTCGGCCCAGAAGTCTCCTTCAGCCGTGAAAATGTTGATTCGAAGAATGGTGATGTTGAGAAGCTTGAGGTCGGGCTGAATAAGGTGGATTCATCTGGGAAGTTGGAAGTTGAGGAAACAGAGAGCGATTCTGTAGATTTTGAGTTCCGGCTTGACGATCCCGTAAGTCCCCCCCCGCCGATGAGCTCTTCTCCGACGGCAAGTTAGTCCCGCTCCAGCTCGCACTGGTGAGGGCGGATGCGGATCAGTGTCCGCCGAAGGTTCCTGTTCGCTTATCACCCGAGCCGATCAAATCGCAACTTAGGTTTGAAATCGCTGGATCTGATGATGATCTGCACGAGTTTTCTCCCAAAGCGCCGAAATGTTCTAGTCGGTGGAAGCAACTACTCTGTCTGAAGAAGGTGCAGAGTCCTATTAAGCCAGCGCATCTTAAATCCACTTTTGTTTCTTCCATGGCTGAAAATGCCAGATCCTTGAAGCATTTCCTTCACAGGAACTCCAAATCTTCTTCGTCCACCGATTCGTTAAGTCTTCCACTTCTAAGGGACTCCGATTCCGAATCGGTTTCCATTTCCTCCCGCCTCTCACTCTCTTCATCATCCTCCAGCGCAGATCACGAGGATATTCCTCGTTTCTCCTTCGATTTTGATAAGCCAATCCCTAACCAAATATCAACTACCCCCTTGCTTCTGAACCAACCCCGGATGCGGTTCGCGAAGATCAAATCCTCCGCGTTGGACGGTAATGTTGCGTTGAGAAGCAGCCGGACTCGTTGTTTACCGGATTCTGGTGAGATATCGCCGCCTCGTGTTCCCTCGGTGGACAGCCCCCGGCTGAACGCATCTGGTAAGGTAATTTTTCAGGGACTTGAGAGGAGCTCGAGCAGTCCGAGCACTTTTAATGGCGGCCCGCGGCCTCGTTCACGCCGAATGGAGCGGAGCTACTCGGCCAACGTTCGGGTAGCACCGGTACTCAATGTTCCTGTATGCACCCTCCCGGTTCAGCGATGTCTATCTCTGTATTTGGCTTTGGGCAGCTATTCTCGCTACGGAAGAAGGAGAAGAAGTTCTTTAATGGCGTCGGTAAAGGAACCAAAGCGTAGAACGAGAAGGCTGAGTTATGAGTTTCATTCGGTAACTGACTTGAAAAAAAAAAATACGAACTTTAATTTTGTTTTTAGTTCCTTTTCCGGATTTCTATGATTGTGTAAATATCGTTATTTTAGGGGTGATCAAGGGCCATTTCTCCACTGTTAACCAATCTCTATTCGTTTTTATGTGGTCGATGTATCTTTATGCGGCACTGTGCTAATCGACATATATCATACTGAGTGCTGAAAGTCTGATTGCTGGAACTTTAGCTTTGTTTGAGATTCCGATACATCGCTGTTGCGTTCCATAAAACGTCTACGTCTCCGAAAGCGCTTTAGGAAGAACGTCATTTTTGTTTGTTTTCAGATCGCGATCGAGGAGCTCCCTTTCACCATTCTGGATCGCGTTCCTTCATTCCGATGGCTGGATCGAAGCTTTTATTTACAAACATCTTTTATTTGAGTTTTTCAGACTGTAGCTTTTAAATGAAATTACTTTAACAGCAAACGACACATCAAAGGAGCCTTTGAGATGGACCATTGCACTCATGATGTTTTGGAAGGATTACAATTTTCGGGCATTTACATAAATATCACCCAATTCCTATGTATTTACGTATCCAACACTGGAATCTTTCATTTTTTATTTTTACTATTTTGACTTTTGAAGTGATGCATATTTTTATACAGTGATAAGATGGCATTAATGTAAAAACTAAAAAAACATATGTTAGATATGTAAATACATATGAATTGAGTGGTATATATTTAAGTCTTTGTAACATTTAATGAAACCTTGTAAAAGAAGGTTATGTGACTGTTCAGTATTTTATTGCTTTCGGCTTATTTCCCTCTCTGTTTGTCTCTGTATGTAGATTAACGTCCGGATTTCAATAGTATTATTACACATGGTTTTCAACTGGATCCACTTCAGCCAATAAACAAAAGGGTGATATTAGGCAGTGAGCTGAACGCGGCCCAGAACAAGCCTGAAATTTGAAAAAAGTGACCTATTCAAATACCCGTGCCTCCTCCTTCATTTCTTCTTTACACTACAATTTTCTATTTCATGTTTTCTGTCTAGGGTTTGCTGGTAATGCTTTCTAAGTTTTTAAAGTAGTTTTAGGGTTTCCAAACGAAAGCTGCTAAGCTTAGCATTCGTCGATCTTTACTAAAAGAATTTCAAACGAGCCTTTGGTTATCTGCTAAACTCGTGGATTTACTTATTACACAATGTTTAGGGTTTCCAATGAAGCAAACCAAGCAAACCAGAAATGATGAAAGTAGAAAGCAAAACAAAACCAAGCAAACCAGAAATGATGGAAGTAGAAAGCAAAACAACGAAACGCAATACAACTTAAAGATGAATAGACAAAAAAAAAAATTATGGATTTAATTTATTGATTACTGTTTAACCTTCACTATTTTATTCAATTCCTCTTGGCAGAATAACATGAATGTACAGATGGGTTATTGCTCAACTCATGTTTTGTTATTGCGGTCAATCTATTTTGCTTCATTTGTTTAATGTATTGCTTCATATCATATTTTAACCTATATATAATCATGATTTATCATTTAAAAACAATGTATTTTATTTGATAAACTTTATTTGTTTAATTTGTGGAAAAAAATAGAATATATCAATCTATACCACTACTATACTACTATTTTTTTAAAACATAATAAAACTTTTAGAATATAAATATTCATACAAGAAATGTGTATAACATTATAATCTATTGTTTCTCCCATAAGAAGAGCAAAATATTGTTGAGAAATTAGGGCGAAAAAAAAACAAGAATCGATATAAATTCAGCAGAACACACAAAGATTTACGAGGTTCGGCAAAGATGCCTACATCCTCGGAAGCAGGGCGGTGATTTTCTTTTTCAATATTCAGAAAAGAGTACAAAATATAATATTCAGAATCTCAGCTACTCACCTAGGGTTACAAACAAGATACATATATAACCCTATAGTACAATATGCAATCACTTAAATTGCCCCTATACCAAACCGCGGGGTGTTGCCCCGCACCCCCAACCCACATAATGAAACTCTCCCGATTGGACAATCCTTCCACTCCACTTTGCTTGTGGGCTCGGTTCCGCTCCAGCATCTGTCCCATTTATGGTATATGAGCCACACCTAACAAATTTTCACCTTGGCGAATATCCAACCCCTTATGAGAAATACATATGCCTAACAAATCTCCACTTTTGTGAATATACTGCCCTTAGGAGAAATACATATGCCTAATCTCCACTTTAACGAATATCCAGCCTCTTAAGAGAAATACATATGTGTAACAAATCTTCATATTAGCGAATATCCAACCCTATAGGAGAAAATACGTATGCTTAACAAATCTCCACCTTGACGAATATCCAACACGTTAGGAGAAATATATCATGAAGTTTCTTATGCACCAATATGGGTTGGGCCACAAATCTTTTTAAATAATCCCTTAATTAGATTTCTCAAAAAAAGACTTTCCCTTAATTAAACTTTTCCTTAAACTTCTAAGAAAAGCTCCACATGTGTTTTCCATAAAAAATCCATTTTCCTTCTAGAAAAGCTCCGTTTTTCTTCTATGTTTTCGCTTTCCAGAAAGCTTCTTTTTCCTTCCAAACAAGCTCCGTCTTCCAGAAAAGCTCTGCTTTCCTTCTGAGAAAAATTCGGCCTTCCAGAAAAGCTCATGCAATTCTGGAGCCTGCGCCTGCAATTCCGCTTCTTGGAATATCACGAAAGGGCGAAAACTGATTTCCTTCCAATCGGGTAACCTCCATCTTTCCTTTTCCGAGTGCAGCAACAGATTCCCCCTTTTCCATGCCTGGAATATCTTGACGCTGAATTTCCTTTTCCCGCAGACTTTTCTTTTCCGCGTGAATTTCCCTTTCCGCGTCCCCCCTTCCAATTCTGCTCCTCCGTCGCTCTTTCGCAGAAATCCTCCGCTTCCGCCTCCTTCGGGAAAGAAATCGGACCGCATGCTGCAACATTCCTTTGCGAAAAAGTTCCGCTCCATAAGGAAATCTTTCATTTTCTGATCCTTCGTGCTTGATCTTCTTCCCGCCTGCGAACGATCCTCCTGACCGAAATTTCCTGGCCGAATGCGATTCTCGAATCCCGTTGGTGTCGCTAACCCGCGAGCAAAAACTAAAGAAGAAGCGTGAATTGTTCCTTTACGAACTTCTGATCGCACGCGCGATCACAAACTCTTCGAAGCCTTGGTCGATGACAGAATCCTTTGCGTCGTCGAACTGCACAGCCCTGCCAATCTGCTCTGTCTGCCTGTGTCGAAATCAAGCAACCCCAGAACTCCTCTGTGCCTGCTCCAATTTGTCGTGAACCGCCATAATTCTTCGCCGAATCGTCGAAGCTCTATCTGAAATTCGTGAAACTCCTTTACCCTTAAACTTCTTTTTCCTTGTGTCGCCAAATAAATTTTTTCCCTAACCTAGAATCTCGCTCTGATACCACTTTTTGAGAAAAGAGGGCGAAGAAAAACAAGAATTGACACAAATCCAGAAAAACACACAGAGATTTACGAGGTTCAGCAAAAATGCCTACATCCTCGGGAGCAGAACGACAACTTCCTTTTTCAATATTCAGAAAAGAATACATAATACAAGATTCAGAATCTCAACTACTCACCTAGGGTTACAAACAAGACATATATATAACCCTATAGTACAATATGTAATTACTTAAATTACCTCTGTACCAAACCGCGGGGTATTGCCCCACACCCCCAACCCACATAATGAAACTCCCCCGATTGGACAGATCCTTCCGCTCCACTCTGCTCGTGGGCTCCGCTCTGCTCCAGCATTTGTCCCATTTATGGTATATGAGTCATACCTAACAAATCTATAATCCATTGTGATAAAAAATACAATGTATCATTGCATATCATCACTATATTATCATTTTTCTAAAACATGGTAAAAATTAAAAAAAAAGGAAATTTCAAACCTAACAAGTTGCATGACATAACAGTGTTGCATTTCTCACGTCAAAAGAACAAAAGATATGGTTCATTTGTGAGAAAGAAAAACAATATATTCATCTATATAACCATTGTACAACCATTTTTCTAAAATATAGTGAAACTTTTAAGGATAACATTTTTAAAATAATAAGATATATAACATCGTAAACAATTGTTTCTCAAACCAGAGAAGCATAAAATATGGTTCATGTGCAAGAAAAAACACATTATATTAATTTATATCACTATTATACCACTATTTTACCGTCATTTTTCTGAAACACATTGAAACTTTCAAAATAGAAATTTTCAAACAATGAATGCGTATAACATCATAAAATATTCTTTCTCATATCAGATGGGCAGGTCTGATTTATTTGTGAGAAAAAATACATATTATTCATTTATAACATCACTATATTATCATTTATCTAAAACGTGATGAGATTCATACAACAACAATTTTCAAATTAATAAGATGCATACCATCATAATTTATTGTTTCTCATATCAAAATGAGCAAAAGATATGATTCATTTTTCAAAAAAAAATAGAATATATCCATATATACCAGTACCATGCCAACACTATATTACAATATTTCAAATAACAAGGTAAAACTTTTAAAACAAAAATTTACAAATTAAGGGTCTGTTTAGGGCAGTTACTATTGTTTGAAGAAACAATTGTGAAGCTACTTCAAAAGAAAATGCTTTTTCAAAAAATAGTGGTGGCTATAACAAATTTATTTTATTTTCAAAAAGTTAGATCGCAGTTTTCTAGCAGTCACCACGCTTTAATAGCTCAGGTTGAAAAAAATCAGGTTTCTACGATAGAAATTTTTAAAAAGCTGCAAGGAAGTAATTACCCAAATAGAACCACTGTGACAGTTGGAAAATTATAGGCAAAAAACTGTCCCAAACCTTAATACGGTGCATAACATAATTATCTATTGTTTATCATATCATAAAAGCATATAATATGATTCATTTATGAGAAAAAATATAATATATCCTTCTATACCATCACAATACCACTGTCATTCTATCATTTTTTTAAGAAATAGTGAAATTTTTTAGACATAAAATTTCAAAATAATGAGGTTTATAACATCATAATCTATTATTTCTCACGAGAGATGAGCAAAAGATATAGCTCATTTGGGAGAAAAAAATACAATATATTGAACTATATCATCACTATACCACTAGTTTTTTGATACATAGTGAAAATTTTTTAACATAAATTTTCAAACAAAAAGGTGATACTACAGCCTATTATTTCTCACATCAAAGGAGCATATGAGATAGTTCATGTGTGAGAAAAAAACACAATAGATCTATCAATACGACCACCATAACACCACTATAGCATCATTTTTCTAAAACATGACACAACATTTAGAACAAATTTCTCAAACAAAGAAGGCGCTTAACATCATAATTTATTATTTCTCACATCAAAGTAATATGAGATGTAGTTCATTTGTGATAAAGAAAAGATAATACATCCATCTATAGCATCACTGTACTATCATTCTTCTATAACATTTTAACACTTTGAGAACAATAATTTTCAAACAATTTTTTTGTTTTGCGC